TATATAATAGGATATGTTCTAGATATCCTATAATTTGTTTGTGTCATCAATTTTTAAAGTTCATTGCACGCTTACCGCTTCAGTTTATTCAGATCGAAGCTGAACATCGAAGAAATGTGGCAGATGCGAGTCGTCTTTTGATGGAAATTGAATGAAAAAAGATTCGTAATCCATTTATTAAAAGTGATTCATTCTTTTCGTTAAATCCGTGAATCTTTTGCTCCATGTGTGGGTCACACTTCACCATTTAATGATCGGGCTCAAAGCGTAGCGCAAAATTTGCGATAGCACTGAAAACCATAATCACTAGTTGATCATTCACCACTTTATACATTTGTGACTAAAGAAGAAGATATCTAGCTTGTCATTTATTTGTTTCACTTCAAAGATCTGTTTTAAAATCTACGATTTAGTTTTTAGCCAAGTTTTTTAGCCAAGTTTGAAATCGTTGCGAGATACTGCAGCTCTACTTGCATCTGCATCTACCTATCCGAAGGGCCCCGAGAAGTATTATCTACATTTGACATGGATAGACGCCGTTCTCAACAATATCTGCTTCATTCGTTACCTCTTCCTCTTCTACCGCCACCTCCAATCAACTATAACGTTAACTTGGCCAAGAAGCTTGACGCGACTTACCACAGTGTTTTGGAGGGACTCCCTGAGGTCCTTCTCTGCCCTCAGCTTGCGCCAACTCACCGAAGGAACTTGGATCATTGGATGATGGAGAACGTGTTTGCCGCATACGGGTTAGACTCGATCATTGTTCATGCCTATCGAGTGGGCATCTACAACCTTGCCAAGCCTAAGCCTATCAAGATTATCATGTTGTTATCTCATGCGGTCTCCACTCTTATCAACTCATCTCGACTCGTTTCCAGAAATTCTTTGTCGTGGCTTGCTCGCTACATCACATTCCGACATTCTGATTCGTCACGCTTTAAATCGAAGCCACCTACCCTCAACAATTCAACTCAAACTTCAACTATGGCTCAAGATTCCGATCCGATGACAACTAAACTTCCACCAATGGATACTTCAATGTCTTTTATCCCAGCTAACATAATCAAGAATGGAAATGGAAGAGGTCGCCCTCGAGGATCAAACAATACAAATGCCAAAGCGGCTTCGTCAAATTACAATTTTCGCCGAAAGCTTGTCTCTCGTAATAGATCTCCTGCCATTATTATATCTTCCTCTCAACTGACTACTTCATCTTTTTTGAAGGACTCCAGCCCTACTTTAAAAATGCAAAAGATGACCACTCCAGCTTCCTTCCCACCTCGAATAGATGTCGACGCAGCCATTTCCCCATCTACCTCATTTCGTCAGCCCCCTTAGGTTTTTTTCTCCGATAAGTTAGAAATTTTCTATTCTAACGCTCATAGTATTACATCTGTATCTCATAATCGTTTAGCTAACTTTCAAGCCCTTATTCGTGCTCAAACTTATCACATTTTTGCAATCACTGAAAGCTGGTTAGATGATTCGATATCATCTTCACTGTTAAACCCTTTAAACCACTACAATGTCTTGCGTTGTGACTGAATTTCTACAAATAAGCTTTATTGAGGCGGTGTTGTTTTATTTCTACAAAAATTTATTCCATATAAGCTTGTTTTTAGTAACTCATTTTTGGGATGCGATATTTTGATTGCAGATATTTTTCCCCCACTTCACTTTGGCATTTCTTTGTTTTATAGGCCACCGAATATTGACCCAAATGGAACTGAACAAATTTTTAAGACATTAGGACTCTTTCTTTATTCAGCAGATTGTAATCTTATACTTGGTGATGTCAATCGTAAAGTCTCTTTCACAAATAAGGTCCTTGTATTCGATTTTTACCATAAACCTAGCCTTTTACTTAAAGATTTTATTTCTTATCGCAATCTTTTTGTCTCTAATCGGTTTTCTACTTCCTTGCGCTCCCCTTTTATTTTAAATTCGGTCCTATCTGATGATACCGAACGTGTTCATTAAGGAAAAACCCCATAAAATGGCACTAAAGGAGAAATTCGAAGGGGTTTCCTAATGGGATAAACATCCCTAAGCTCATAAAATTTGCATAAAACTTAATTTGGTTGAAAGTAAATCTTTGGGCGTCTAAAAGTATGGATGGGATTCTTCTCATTTGAATTAAACCAGGAATCGGCAAGCCTACTGAAGCTCAGCTTCCAAGGTTTAGGTGATGCCTCCCCATATATAGGCTCACACTTTTAGAGTTTCATTGTTTGAGTTCTGCTGTTTGAGGCTATGCTATCTATGCTTATAATAGGAATGGTTACCTGGAACACAATCCAAACTGAACCGACACACAAAGAACACCTCGATGGACATTTTAGACAGGGACTTTCTTTACATTTTACACAGAGGATAGGAGCCATCCGTGGGTTTTCGGATATGGAGAATCGAATGGTGGTGTTTATATAAATCCTTAATTTGTCGCCACAGTTAGCCAGCCATATTTGAATATTCGTAAGTAAATTTCAATTTTGTAAACCCCCACCTCCCAACCTGCTCATCATTTGTCTCCCAATGCTTCATGTTCGTCGATTCGACGATCGCGAGAGTGGAGACATTGGCATTTGAACATTTGAACAACAGCAACGAGAGTGGACACATTTGGAGTTTTTGAACTTTAAAATGCAAAAAAGCGGATCCCGGTGTGTTCCCTGTGCGCGTGCACAATAGCACTCGATCTGGCATACTAGAACAGCACATAGCGTCTTTTTTCACTCATCCATTCGGAAGCGTCCATTTTGGGTCGGCCGGTAACAAATCCGTTGTCTGCCCCATATGGTCACCGCTTCCCAAAACTAACTTCGGCTGTAGAATTGGCAAACCCAGTTCCGGCTCATTTTGGCCACAATGTTGGGTTCTCCGCCGGTCGAAATGGGCTCCCAAGTGCCTGTAAAAAGGTGCTGAAGTGAGCCGCTGTGAATTTTGGATTCATCCCAAGGATTTCGGTCCGCAGGGGCAGCAAAAACATAAAATTCAAAAAACTTAAACTCTTTGAAAAATCCGACGTTTCATAGGCGCCAACCCAATATCAAAAGATCTCGAGAAAGTTGGATAGATTTAAATAAGCGATGGTTAGGTAGACAAATATCTGGTTTATACGGGGGATGTAAAAGGGTTTTCTACCGAAGCCTCCCTACGTCCTCGCCAAGCTTTTCTCTCTACAATGCTAGGACGAACATCCCATTGTAAGTAATTGATTGTTGGTCGTTTTACTAGTTTCTATTTCTATGAAGAATGCTGCAATAGAGATGAGATGGGATGGCTAGATGTCAAAATGAAAAACAAGATCTGTCCATCATCGATGAAATTAAAATTTTTGTGTAAGGCTTTGAAAATGGACCCCTAGTCCTAATCTATTCAAGACCGCCGTCTTATTATTGGTGTTTTAAAATTGCCAAAGGTATCCATCATTTATAAATTTTCTCCCTCTCAAAAACAGTCAATCCGGAGCTAGGTCAGGGCCTTTTCTTCTGCATGAACAATTACTTTTGTGTAAATCAGCCAGAAATCTTTTCTCTAATCGTGTTGTTGATAGTTGGAATGCTCTACCACCCCATACTAGAGATATTTCAAATGTAAACACTTTTAAGAAAGCGTTACTTTCTATAAAGCTTGTAAACTAAATTGAGCATTTGCGTTCATTACATTTTGAATCGATAGAAATTCAAAATTTATTAAAAGTTGATCCCATATTATATCGTGGTTTTTAAAATTTTGTTTTTCTCTCTGTGCATATCTTATTGGCTTATTGGCTACGCTTTATTTCATGGCTTGAATAAAGTATGAATATATAAAGTAGAAACTGTCACACCCATTTAGAAACAATTTCGTAGAAAAAGCATATAAGTATGCTATTTTGATGGGTCAGCTTCAAAGCCTTATGATCCAGAAATGATTATGATCCAAATTCTCAGATGAAATATGTGTTTCAAGTGTGCTTATTAAAGAGAAAAGATTTATTGGCAATTGTTAGATTTCCAGAGAATAGACTCACATTATGTATTACTAGAATCATTAAGAAAGGACAAATCGAAAAACATTACTTATTGCAAGTGAAAAGAAAAGCGGTACTTGTGACATTTCCGTTGAAATAGGTGCATACATATCTGGGGGTTTAAGAAGAGTAAACAGGAATAGAACGTGTCCCAACTGGGTGTCCAACCCAGGAAGATTTGCAAGATTTTATTTTGCAATCATATATAATGTGGATAAGCTTGCGGTTGATAAAATCGGTTGTAGAATTCTTTTTCAAATAACGCAAAACAGAGAAACTGTTCCTGTTCTGCTTTGCCTCTTGCCATTTATCAACCTATGAAATTAGCAATCGTGTGAATCATGCAAAATATATAAATCATAATGACTATCTGAATATACATAGAGATTATATGAAAATATATAAATCCTATCCGAAGATACTGTCCAGTAGCAATATTTTGTCACAAAAATCTCCCTTGACAAAGAGATCAAAAAATAATTTAGTTTCATTGAACGTTAGAATGAAACTTTCTATATAAGATAAGCTGAAAAAGCACGCCTGTAGAAAAAGAGAAAGGAAAGGGCAAAAAACTTGAAAGGACTAACTATGTTTAGAATTTTTGTTTTTATCATTTTTTTGGGCAAAAGTGAAAACTTTGGTTGATTCTCTCACACAGAAAAATGATAGAATTGGGAACAACCAGGTAAGACAGATATGGCTTGGAATACTTTTGAATGATTCCAACTTATCCAAACTCAAATCTGGCACAAGAGATTACAATGAAAAGCAATATTTACAACCAATGAAAAGGTGACCAGGTGACTGACAGAAACAATTTACTGAAAAAGAAATTACAGAAGATAAAAATCAGATCTGAGAATAATATCTTGAGTATAAAGATTGCAAAACAAGAGAATTATTGCATTTATGACACTAAATTGATGTGCGATTAACAATTGATGTTAAAAGAAGTTTTAATGCTTCAGTAGAAACAATTTTAAGGCAGAAAATCAGGAATCGTGAGTGAGGCAAAAAAAGAATCTTGAGGGCTTCGAGTTCTTGAATCCGGTTGATAGTCAAAAAGTAATTGATTGATAAAAAGTGATTGATGGAGAAAAAAGTCACGATCGACTTGATTTTCGCTTTTTTGATCCTCATTCTTCTTTGGCTAAACAATGTGATAAAAAAACAATGCATGGCACGTGATGATGATTTCATTTTATTTGCGCTATTCAGTTCATCTTTAACTCACATTTAAGGCCGTTAAAAAGCCGTGATTGAGGTATTCAGCCGCACTCGGTCGTCGCTCTGAATTAGGGTGCAGCATCTTTTTGAGCAGATCTTTGCAATCATCTCCTAAATTGCATACTCTCTGCAAAAGTATCATTAATTTGTCTGACTTTTTAGTATATCCGGACCCAAACGAGATTCGATTTTTGTTCTCCAGGTTACTTCAAATTCATTCTCGTTGATTAATTGCACAGCATTGCTTTGAATCTGAAATTTGGGTTTGAAATCAGGAAAATAGGTACATTTAACTTCTGAGAGAAGTTTGCCTTAAATTATTTTTTCTGTAGATACCTGATCAGATCCCGTGGTCAACAACTCAAGTATCACAAGAGCTACGGCTCGAATATCGGTTCCTGTCTCATAGAGTTGACGGCTTGTTTCCCTAATAGTTTTTATTTGGGTTTTACTCAATGAACTTGTCTGGCCAATATAAATACAGAAGGTGATTTTCAGCATTTTTCTGGTTCATTCCAAAGTTTCGGGGAGTAGTTATTTATGGAAGAGATAAATTTGAATACCTGGCAAGTCCAAAATTGAGAAGTTTGATCTCGAACTCCTTTTGGTTCATTCCAATATTTTGGGGAGTGACATCCTGAAAACAATATTGGTAAGGAAATCTTAAAGCTTGTGATCAGGAAACAGACTTTTTAATCTTTCTAATACTGTCTTACCCTGTGCATGATTCCACGTTGATGAATGTAATCAAGAGCTCGAAGTAATTGAGTGAGAAGTGCTCCAATATGGCGGAGATCTCTTTTCACCGGCTCTGATTTTTCGTCGTTACGGCGGAGATGTCTAAAAGTTAACATTATTAACTTCAGTAATCAAATTTCCGGTTCTTTAAATAATCATTTCTATTCAATTTTATCTACTCATCAGCGAACTTTGCTTAAATTGTGGACAATTCTAAGCGGGTGGTCCTTTTCTTTCTCCTCTACAGTAAACCTTCTTATCATTGATGAATCACCACCAAAAAAACCAGGAAAAGGCTTTTCTCGACAGCTATTTTCCTTATAATCCATTCTTGCAGTAAATTTTCTCATTAGGTTTTTTGAAAATTGTCCTAAACTCACTCAAAATATTTCTCCAAAGTGTGATCCATTCTTTCGGTGACAAGCCAGATGTGTGTTGGATTTTCGGGCTTCTCCACAAAAACATCATAAAATTCGACAATCTAGAGTCAAATTTTATACTTTGTATGCCTAAAAGCTCTTACATTCTCATGTCGATTGAAACGAGAAATTTGAATTTCTCTTCTGAGGCGAGTATAACCATCAATTGTTTGATTCAACTGTTCAATCTTGTATCTAAATGTTTACTTATAAGTATTTTCATTATTCAATTTTTACAAACCTCTTTGCAGCTACAGATTTTCCATCTCGATTCACAGCGGCACTAAAATAAACATTATTCCTTGCGTTGAGTAGTGATCTTCTTCTAGACCAGTTTAAAAACTTACATAATATCGGCAAAATTTCCACTGGCGATCACATGATAAACATGTTTGTTTTCACTGAGTTTCGGTGGACGATAGAAACGATCCTTCTAAGAAATGGGACAATTATGATGAGACTGTGAAGAGTGAGCAATTTTTTTATATATTCTTATCATGATTTTACTTGAATAATGCTAATCACTTACCGTATCCGGTTTATATTCTTCGGGCAATTCAATGTCACCCATCACTTCCTCGAAATCTGGTTTTCCATCTTTTGTGATCGGTTTCACAAAAAGAGTCCTGGCTTTCACGAATCTTCTTTGTTGAACTTCTGATGGCTCTTCTTGAGATTGAGGGGGACTTTTTATTGTAGGATCATCCAAATGAATATCAAATAGCGAATTCCTTGGCTCCGTAGCTGAGGTCGGCATTGAAAATATCTGAAATTTGAGCGATTAAGCTTTTTTATGAAATTAAGGAAAATTGAATCGAGAACAAAAAAGGTTATCCAAGAGTTCGAAGTGAACAAGTTGAAAAAGAAGGGATCTGTTTTTTGAATCTCAAGAGGCATTAATGAGTTTGAATGGACTTGTAAGCTAAGCTTCTTAAATTTAAAAATGAAAGGCGGGGTCAAGTTTCTCTTACATGAAAGAAAATTTTATGAACATCGGAACCAACAAGAACATCGGAGGAGTAGGCTTCCTGGTCAACAAGGACATCGTGCCACTCGTCGATAGCCATGAGATCATCTCTCCACGACTCGCAGTCCTCCATCTCAAGCCACCGAGAAACCGCGACATCGCCATCGGGAACATCGCGAACAAAAAGGTTATCTATGAGTTTAAAATGTCGAAATTGAAGAAGAGGGGGTCTGCTTTTCGAACATCCAGAGGCATATCAAGCTAAGTTCTTAAACTTAAAAATGAAAGGCGGGGTCAAGTTTGCTCTTACATAAAAGAAAATTTTGAAAAGAAAAGAAAAACCCCGGGTATTCAGTCATTTTACCTGGGAACTTTTTTTGTCATAATCAGTCAGAAAAGAGACCCCAAACTCGGGATAGCCCCTTTTTCTCAATTTGATATGGACGAGGGGGGGAGATTGAAGAGAGTGAGATGAGAGAGAGACCAAAAGAGACTCTGATTATTTCAAAAGAGATCAGCGGAGGGTACGGATCGAATACGTATTCTTCATAGTCAGGATATTATTTACATTGATTTACAAAACTGCTAAAGTTTGAAGTTTTAAATTTTGGTCAACTAAGATACTAGGGAAAAGATTTATGGCTGATTTACCATTTTAAGAGACTAAGAGAGTAATTCAGAAAAGAACTATCCAAGTATTTCCTCACTATTCTGATTGTGAACGGATTGATCACTTACAATTAATCATCGGAAATGAGAACGAGCAGTTTGAGATTTTGATGTGTAGCAAACAGTGGTAATTTTTAGTAAAACATATCTAATGTCTTTGATTGTGTTTTCATTGCCAACTTTGCACCTTTGCACCTGTCCTTTTAAAATCCTTTTAAAAATGTAACAATCAAGTAAATAATATAAAACATATAAATCATAATGACTATCTGAATATATTGGATTGGTGAATTTAAAACTGCCGGCTATTTCGATATGTCCCAGTTTTGACTGATCCTCTCATACAGAAGCATGATAGAATAGGAATCAAGCAGGCAACAGATGTGACTTGGAGTATTTTTGAATCATTCCAACTTATCCAAGGTCAAATCTGCCACAAGAGATTATAATGAAAAGCAATATTTACAACCAATGAAAAGGTGACCAGGTGACTGACAGAAACAATTTACTGAAAAAGAAATGACAAAAGATAAAAATCAGAGCTGAGAATAATATCCTGACTATGAAGATATCTAACGAGAGAATTATTGACACTAAATTTATGGCTATTTTGGATGTGAGGTCGACACCAAGAGTTACCCTACCCGTGATCAGTGAAGTAGAAAATGTAATTATTTGCATGTTTTAAAATCCCTGATATGTAAAATTATTATGGTTATTAATTTGTTTTTTAAAAATCTTTCTATTTCATTGCCACATAGATGACCCTTGGTGACCTTCCTCTTTAAAATAACATTATCACTAAACCCGCGGCTGGATGTGCTACCAGAGGCCATTGAATCCGTCATTTTTGGATGTTTAGGGAAAAGATTTCTCATCAGTGGAAACTTCGAGAAAAGAAACCCCCAACTCGGAATAGCTTTTTTCCTGAATTTGATATGGACGAGGGGGGGGGGAGAGTGAGAAGAGAGTGAGAGGAGGAGACCAAAAGAGACTCTGATTATTTCAAAAAGGATCAGCGGAGGGTACGGATCGAATACGTATCGTTTGATTCACAAAACTGCTAAAGTTTTGAAAACCTTGAATAGACTGAGAAATAAAAGAGCAAAATGAAGCAACTTTCTGGCTCAAGAAAATGGGAGCTGGGAAAAACGCGATTTTCGATCGATCGGAGAAGAGAAAAAGAGAAACGAGAAAAGGACAGCGATAAGCAGTCAGCAATATTTAGGCATCATTTAGGCTTTCTGTAGAAATTTATCTATAAAATTATGGTTTTGGGCCGAAAACGTCTAAAACTCCTAGGTACCTATATTGATTTTGAAACTAAACTGTCTTCCTTATGAAGCGTTTTAAACCCTTGAGTCCGCGCTATTTAGGTCGAACCATTACTCTATGTAGTGGACAAAAAACAAGATTTCTGAATAAGGGTAAAAAGTAAAAAAATAGGAGCTTCAGAAAGAAATCAAGACTTCTTACTGGCAATAAAATTGACACAGGAATTTTTGACTTCGATTCTGTTCCGCAAGTTCCTCTATGGAAATTGATTTTATTTTTGCCCTGAAGTTTTAGTAAAGGTTTATAATCTAAAGATATTTTTCTTTTAGAAATGTCTCTATCTATGAATCAGTAGAAGATACGGAAATGCTTTTGTCGAACACGTTTTTTGAGTCACATCTAACGAATCGATGAAACAATAAAAAAAGTGTTACTGAACTACCCACCCTGTGGTGATCATCCAGTTGGCTCAAGGAGAAATCGAAAGATGAAGGATATTAAAGAAAAATGAAGGAATTTTCCTTGTCTAGTCAACTTTTATTACATTACTTCTCATTCACACCCCACGCAAGCACTAGGACTCATTTACCATGAGTCATTTGATAAAAACCACAACGCAGTTGTCCAACTAATGAAAAAGCTTTACACAAGACAATTACTCGGTCCATTGAAACACCATTCCAAAAATGGAAAAAAATTGGTTAAGCATAAAAGGCTTCTTGGAAAATTCCATTGGAATAACTTGCGTAGTGAAAATAGTGAATGAGTTCAGACGTAACTTATATTTGAGTTCGCTTCTTCTATATTTTGCGGGGCACGTCTGCGCGAAATAAGGCGAAAAATGCGATCGCCGTTAAATTTACTCATGGTAAGTGCTATTCGATTAAGCACGGTGGCGGTTCGGTGATGACATGGGGTATAAGGTTCACTTGACTTAAAAAAAATAAGCTTAGGTTGCTTTTCGCTTAGCGGTGTTGGTCCACTTGTCGAAATCAACGGAATAATGAATGCTGTAAGCTATCGAGACATTTTGGATCAAGAAATGCTTCCGTTTGCCCAACAAAATTTGGACCCTGATTGGTTGTTTGTGCGAGACAATGACCCGAAGCATAAGGTTCGATTTGTTTCTCAATGGTTTCAACAATCACAGATTCACCCAATTGATCTGGTGGTGTCAAAATGTGCACAAGACCCTTGAGTCTTGGAATGGCCGGCCCAAAGTCCGGATCTCAACCCTATTGAGCATCTTTGGGCGGAATTGGGTCGACGCATTCGGGCACGAACATTCACAAGAACCACCGAACTCGTCGCCGCGCTTAAAGATCAATGGGCCAAGATTCCTCAGGCCACTATCGACAAATTGATCAATTCGATGCCACAGCGTTGTGCAGCAATCATTACCGCTAAAGGTTTTGCAACTAAATATTAGTTATTCTTTATTAATTTTGAATAAATTGTCCGTTTTCTAAAGCGTGTCCAAAGTTATGACCCCCTAGAAAGAGGGTGTCTCGGGTAAAGTAGCTCAAAAATAAATGAGAATGAAAATAAAAGCCAAATTCATGCAGAAATAATGAAAAGGGATAAAAACTGTATAAAATAGTCGATTTCGGTAGAAAAAGCTCTTATTAGCAAAAAGAGCGAACAAATTATAGTTTAACGCGCGAGGTGTGTCCAAAGTTATGATCCCTACTCTAGGTATTTATAAAGTTGCAAAAACCCACGCGTAATATTTTTCCAATGTCTGTGGCATTCTCTCTTTTACAAAACATAAATGGTTTGGTACTTTGGATCCTTCACTGTACATCTCATAGAATTTGACAATATGAAATAATTAATACAGGGTGTCCGAAAAAAAAGTGGTCATTTGTCCGAAAAAAAAGTGGTTTGAGTCTGGAAAAATTTTCTCGTTGATTTTTCAAAGCTCATTGTGGCGTCAGAATTGGTTTTGCCTCAGGCGCCACACAACAAGATGAAATTGTTTTTAATGATTTTGGATTGGACTTTGATCTCCCCGGCCTGTGGATGACCCCCTATTTACAAAATCATTAAAAACAATTTCATCTTGTTGTGTGGCGCCTGAATGCTCTAAAACAAACAAAAAATATGTTTAAAACAAGAATATTTTTTTTCGGCCTTGACGCCTGGAGGTCGAACTCTCAAAAATGATATCGATAGTTTTTCCTAACAATTTTTTTCAAAAAGTATTTTGAAAAATTTTTGTTAGATCCTTTTAAATTTTACTGCCAACCTTTCTAGGTTATACATATGGACCATATACACCATTCTAAACACTTTTCAGCAAAACTCTTTTTCAAAACTAATGACTTTTTGGGCGACCAATTTTGTATGGGGAGGGTGCGCTTCTATTAGAATATTTACGGTATGTTCATTTTAGCATCTGTAGTGTCTAGTAAACAATTTGTAAAGAGGTTTCCTTTTAGATCTTTGCTCTTTCGGGATGAGGAAAATGGATTGGTGCGCAGAGATCTTATTCAGCTAAAATCTCTTCTCACTCAAATATTTCGGGGGCTCGAGTACCTTCATCAATGTGAAATCATTCATCAAGTAAATTTATTTAGAAATCTTACGTTAAAAATCTTTGAATTCACAAGATATAATCGATTACACTGTTTTCAGGATGTCTCACCAAGAAATATAGGAATTAATTTCTCATCAGTGTAAATACGCTGATGGTGTGGATCGGAAAATTCCTTCAAAAGAACATCTCGATCTTGAGCGTTTCGAGCTTTCATCTGTTGATCGTCCTTTGGTTGTTTTCCAGTACCGAGTGAACTGGCTCGTTGATCGTATTTTTCCTGAAAAAGTACTTTATTTTGAATTTTCAGAGTACTGATTGGAGCTGTCTCGTTTGTTCATATTTTCAAAAACTCAAAAGGCTCACGTTCAAAATACGCAAAAACGGATGAAGGAGACATTCGTCGGCCCGCAAACGTTGTTGTAGATTTGGGTCAAGCATTTTTTTAATTAAATCTTTAAAGTCCTCTCCTAAAATTTGAAACTGTAACAAGTTTTTATGCCAACAAATTTACTTCTTAATGGCCCGATATCTCTATCCAAACGTGGCTCGATTTTCTCCTCCCAAATCTTGTCAAACTCGCCGGCGTGTGGTCTCTCTTGAATGGGTCGGCCAAAGCTAAAAATTTGTGCTCAAAATGTTTCTTAGATGAAGTCCTTTTCAAAGTTTGAAATTTTAAGCACTTTTTGTTGTTTCAACCTACATTGATTGATATTGGTCCTCTGGGACTCCAAGAACGGTGAAGATTCTGTCCTTGACGGCGTTTTCCGCTCCACGTTTTCGTATCTAAAAAGTTTAAAGTGAAGAACAATTGAAATATGGCAGTTTGTTTTATTTTCAGTTTCACAAACCTTTTTTGTAATTTCGTCATCGGTTCCAGTTGGCATAAACAATTTCATTCCCAACATTTCAAGAGCAACTAAAGCTGCAGCCCAAACATCAATTCCTGTATTGTACTTGGTTCTCATGAAGACTTCAAGAGATTTGTAGATGTAAGGAGTATCGACATTTGTCGAGTGATCGAGTTTTGGATTTGTTTCTCTGAAATATTGGTAGTTATTTATGGAAGAGATAAATTCGAATACCTGGCAAGTCCAAAATCGAGAAGTTTGATCTCGAACTCCTTTTGATTCATTCCAATATTTCGGGGAGTGACATCCTGAAAACAATATTGATAAGGAAATCTTAAAGCCTGTGATCAGGAATCAGACTTGTCTTACCCTGTGCATGATTCCACGTTGATGAATGTAATCAAGAGCTCGAAGTAATTGAGTGAGAAGTGCTCCAATATGGCGGAGATCTCTTTTCACCGGCTCTGATTTTTCGTCTTTACGGCGGAGATGTCTAAAAGTTAAAGTCTAAAAGTTTTTTTCCCCTCTACAGTGCACCTTCTGAACACAGATGAATCGCTACAAAAAAATACGAGAAAGGCTTTTCTCGACAGCTATTTTCCTTATAATCCATTCTTGCAGTAAATTTTCTCATTAGGTTTTTTGAAAATTGTCCTAAACTCACTCAAAATATTTCTCCAAAGTGTGATCCATTCTTTCGGTGACAAGCCAGATGTGTGTTGGATTTTCGGGCTTCTCCACAAAAACATCATAAAATTCGACAATCTAGAGTCAAATTTTATACTTTGTATGCCTAAAAGCTCTTACATTCTCATGTCGATTGAAACGAGAAATTTGAATTTCTCTTCTGAGGCGAGTATAACCATCAATTGTTTGATTCAACTGTTCAATCTTGTATCTAAATGTTTACTTATAAGTATTTTCATTATTCAATTTTTACAAACCTCTTTGCAGCTACAGGTTTTCCATCTCGATTCACAGCGGCACTAAAATAAACATTATTCCTTGCGTTGAGTAGTGATCTTCTTCTAGACCAGTTTAAAAACTTACATAATATCGGCAAAATTTCCACTGGCGATCACATGATAAACATGTTTGTTTTCACTGAGTTTCGGTGGACGATAGAAACGATCCTTCTAAAAAATGGGACAATTATGATGAGACTGTGAAGAGTGAGCAATTTTTTTATATATTCTTATCATGATTTTACTTGAATAATGCTAATCACTTACCGTATCCGGTTTATATTCTTCGGGCAATTCAATGTCACCCATCACTTCCTCGAAATCTGGTTTTCCATCTTTTGTGATCGGTTTCACAAAAAGAGTCCTGGCTTTCACGAATCTTCTTTGTTGAACTTCTGGTGGCTCTTCTTGAGATTGAGGGGGACTTTTTATTGTAGGATCATCCAAATGAATATCAAATGGCGAATTCCTTGGCTCCGTAGCTGAGGTCGGCATTGAAAATATCTGAAATTCCAGCGATTATGAAATTGAGGAAAATGGAATCGAGAACAAAAAAGGTTAGCCTAGAGTCTAAAATGTTGAAAATGAAGAAGAAGGGGTCTGCTTTTCGAATATCAAGAGGCATTAATGAGTTTGAATGGACTTGTAAGCTTTCTTAAATTTAAAGTGAAAGGCGGGTCCAGGCTTTCTCTTACATAAGAGAAGATTGATATGAAAATCTTTCAAAAGCAATTGTATAAATAAATTCTCATCAATTATAATGAAATAGAAGACGAGTCATTCCGTTTCAAAACAAGAACAAACTGAAAAAGAAGGAACCCTCTCAAATTCTTTTGCAAAAAATCATTTGTCTCGGATTTATCTTATGATAAGGGGACTTTTTCGGCAGATTTCCCATTTTTACAGATTCAATGTGAGGCATAATTACGGTCCGAGGCTTTTTTGTGAATATCACGGCAATTTTTCGAGCGACTCTCACAAACTCTTTTTGCAATAAAAATTTGGGGATTTTTTTCTATGGTAATTTTTTTTTGGTTTTTGCTGAAAACTCAATTGACTTGTTTTTTGGACGTCTCAAAGTTCGTTTCTCCGACAAGCTCGGTGCGAATGTCATTTTATGAGATTTTCGAGTTCACAAAAAGCACTGAAAAAGGTCTTTAAGCTATTTTTTTAATGTTTATCTTATTAGCTCACTATCGACATTAAAATTAAGTATGATGATGTGTGAATAAAACTTTTAACAATCTTCGAAGATGCCTTTCGAAAACCCCACGTTGGAGCTTTTTCAGTGAGTTGACGACATCTTGGTCTTTTTATAGGTTCAATCACTCTACATTGAAGGGCAACGATGTCTAAAAGAGTGTGCGCTACACTTTTTTAGATTGGTTCATCATAAAACCCATTTAACTAGCAAATTTCTCCAAAAATTTTGCTTAACTACCCGAAAAACTCATAAAATGACATTCGCACCGAGCTTGTCGGAGAAACGAACTTTGAGACGTCCAAAAAACAAGTCAATTGAGTTTTCAGCAAAAACCAAAAAAACTACCATAGAAAAAATCCCCAAATTTTTATTTTAAAAAGAGTTTGTGAGAGTCGCTCGAAAAATTGGCGAGATATTGACAAAAAAGCGTGGGATCGTAATTATGCCTTACCCTGTACATTTGCGACTGCTGAAAATACACAAAACGGAACGAACAGATGTGGAATTTTCAGTAAAATGGTCAGTAAACGTGTAAGGAGTATAATAAAATGATGAATTTAGAATCAGATTTGATAAATCAATGTAAGAATATCAATAAAATTCATGTTTGTCCTTAACCAGTTAGCAAAGCACAATTAAAATGAAGCTTCAACTGCCTAAATACTGCTTTAGATATTTTTTGAATGATAGACGATTTGTAATCAAAAATGCTATTTGTGAAAATGTTATGAAAAATGCTACTCGCTTGAATTGTCTTGTTTTTTCCGATAAATAAAAAAATCACCAAAAAAACACTGAAAACTGGACTACGTGGCAAATAGATAAGCGTTTATTCTTGAAATCTTTTTGGGAAAGTGAACATCTTCCCTTTTTCTGATATGAGAGACAGGCACAAGCACAGGCGCAGTTTAGTATAAAAAGACCAATGAAATAAGATGGTTTTTCTCAAAAAAACTGTCCACGCAACTGCTGAATATCTTGAGAGTTTATGATATTATATCTCTGACAACTGGCTTAGTGTTCTTTCTTAGACCGAAGAAACATACAGATAAACTAAAATCGATATTGTTTAAAGTGAAGTTGTATGCGTGTTGGTTAATTAATAAAAACGATCGGGTACTTATCGGTTATATCCCCACAAAAATTGTATTTGAAAAAGATTGTCAAAATGGCGCTGCATCAAATCGGTTATATTCATTTGGACTATCGTTTCTACCGTAAGCTTTGCTATGTGGTAGAAAACCTCCTCTAGGCAGGATCCAAGCCTAACCTTTGTTCGGGAAAATCGGTTCTGAAGCATGCCTGATTCCTAGCCCAAAAACAACCCTATTCTTTCTTTAATTTGTCTACTTTGACCATTTATCAATTCAACTAGTAAAGATCTATTGAAATAGTGCTGATAAAATAGTATTAAAATTGTTGTCCATTTAAAACTAAAATCCGAAACGTGAGTTTCGTTATCTTTATTCGTTATTCGGCAAAATTATAATAATTTTCAGTTCTAAAATTCTTTCAAAAATTTTCGAAAGAAAACTCCCTCAAATTCTTTTGCAAAAAAATCTCGGATTTATGTCATGATAAAGAGACTTCTGCCGGTTTTCCATTTTTTTTCGCAAGAAAATGATCGCTACAAATATCGAAACGAACTCTATAAACTATTGAAATATAAGCCCAGTTTACCCAAAAAAACTTCTCCAAACTTTTAAAAATTTATTCTCTTTAGAAGCTCGTCAACAAACGTTTTTGTCTAAACGTGTTTTGTGTTTTTGGTAATGTTTTTCATTCGCCAGTCTAATAAGAAATCATGACTCAAATTTTGTAAGGAAAAAGAAAAGTGTCACGCGCGAAGACAAAAAGTGCCTATAAGAAATATAAACACTTGCGCAAATGTTGTCGTTGTCTCTTTTATAAGCGAAAAGGATGAAATTCCATGACACATCCTTCTAATTCACTATTGACACGTTGTCAGGATAATTTGCTCGAATTTTAATTTGAATCTTCAAATTCATTTATTCATTTAATCTTCAAATTCAGATTCAATTGTTCAATGAAAGACGATGCGATGGTGTATCAATTATTTACTTGGGCCTGGAAGATTTTCATGCGACCGGAAAAACACGAAGGAATCGAAACAGTCAAAGAATATGTCGATAGAATGAGAGTGCCTCGATTTTTGACGCGCGATTCGGTGCGCTTATCAAATTTTCTTCTAAATGAAAATTCTATTTAGACGGATCCATTCTTCCGTCCGCCAAAGTTGGCTGAAGATGGAAGAGATGAATACTTTCATGTGATTGCTAGTGGAAAATTCGCGGATATCATGTTGGTTGCATCAAATAAAGCTTTTAGAAACAAGCTCCTTTTTCAGAGCTGCTAGACTCACCATCGACAACAAAAGTATCGCTGTGGCTGCAAAGAGGTACAGCTTGCAACAGCTAGACTCAACAATTGATGGATACACAAGGCTTCGACGAGAGATGCAAATCTCTCGATTTCATCAACACGATAATGTGGGTGTGACATGGACAATCAAACAAGGAATCTCATTTTCAGATTGTTCAATTTTATGTAACTTTCGTTGAATGTGGAGAAGACAAGCCGGAGATCCCGACTCATTTGTGGCTTGTGGCGGAACGAATGGATCACAGTCTTGAGAAATATTTCGAGTTTGTATTCGTTTAACCATATTGTAGATTGTTTTCAAGTAAAACTTATCACTACATAAACACAATGCTTTAGATATCTCCGAAGGAATGATAACACAAAAGAGGCAGTGAAACGAGATTTGAGACATTTGGCTGCAATGTTATGCCAATTATTGAGACCACTAGAGTATCTTCATCAACGAGGAATCATGCATAGAGTAAAAAAAGATAAAAAGTGGCTAAAGTATTCATTTTCAGGATATCACACCCAGAAACATTGGAATGAATCAAAGAGATTTTGTGATAAAATTATTCGATTTCGGATTGGCAAGAGAAACAAATGCAAAGATGGATCACTCAACAAATGTCGATACACCATACATTTATAAACCATTGGAGGTTCTGATGAGAGCAAAATACAACACAGGCGTCGATATTTGGGCAGCGGCTTTAGTAGCGATTGAAATGTTGGGAATGAAATTGTTTTTACCCGAGGGAACTGACGAAGAAATCACGAGAAAGGTGAGAACAAGAAGGGAAAGATTCAAGCGATGCGGATTGACTATTGTTTTATTTCGTGATCTTTCAGTAATCTAAAAGTTCCTTCAGATCCGAAAGCTCGGTGCCGAGAACGCGGTGATGGAAAGAATCTTCCAAGTACATGGAGTTCCCGATGATCAATATCAATCAATGTAGGATTCAGTATAATTTACAAAAACGTCAGATTTTAGCTACCATAGACCAGTGTCGAAAAGGCCAATGCTCGGTAAACTTCAAGAGATTTTTGTGCTTCTCAGCACGAGGCTTGGCAACGATGTTGGGCCACTGAAAGGTTGAGCAAATTTGGTGAATTAGATGAGTAATTATTTTAAGGAAGTGACTTGTTCAATCTCATCACGCGAATGTTGGATCCGAATCCGAAAAATCGTCTACGAGCTGATGAGTGCCTTTCGCACCCTTTTCTTCTGAAGATGAATGTAAATAGTTTGACTGACCAATGATCGATTTTCCGTGAAACCAAATTCGTCCTCAATAATTATATGAATCTCAATAATTTCCATCATTATTTAATGTCCATTTTTATATTACAGACAATTTTAGGAAAAATACGAAGAACGACTCGAAAAACAAGAACAAATGAAGAAGAATGGCCTAGTACAACCAAAAGATGATAATGGAATGAGGCAAAGAAATGAAAAAGATAAAGAAGTGCTGCTAAAAGAACTGGCACAACCACAAAATCGACGGATATTCATTGATGAGCTGATGCAAGCTGATGAAATGAAAGATGATGAAATGAAAGAAGGAAAAGATCAAGAAATGATTGAAGAATTCTCTCAAATAGCTACATGATGACCAGTTCATTTAAACATCGTTTTGCACCCTGGAGGAGCTGAAAAGCAAGCAATCTTTGCAGAAACATGCAAGCCATATTGTTCTCATTGATTTCTGCTCTCATTATTGTTCTTCTCATTATTGATCTCATCTATTCTCATTGGTTGTGCATTTGGTGGTTTGCGCGATTCTGACTTGATTCTGGTGATATATTTTTGGTTTCAGTTTTTATTTTGTAAACACATGTCATAATAAATTCTGTCGATTTATTCACTGTACATTTATCGTTTTTCCAAAGTGATATTCACTCCTTCCATCGGTCGCATCAAAATCATTTGCAGACGGGTTTTTAGCTCAATCTGTAATTGAGAAAGTACAAATTTACTCCTCTTCAAAAAAAGATCCCAACATTAGAGAGATTTGGCACTACCTTCAGAAATGCTCTGCACTTACATCTTTGTGTTGTGGTGTCATTTTGAACTTTCTCACGAGAGCACAAAGCGCTGTTTTGAACTCCATCTCGGCAAATCTCATTCCTACACAATTTCGTGGTCCAATTCCAAATGGAAGCCATGAGGTTTTCTTTCTCGCTTCTGGATCTTCAAATCTGAAAGGAATTTTGCATTTGCGACCTTTTTCCGGGAAAATCCTGGGTTGGGGCTTTAAAGCGTGGTAAAACTACCGTAAAACCCTCCTAATTTACAGATAGCGCAAAATTTTATTTTTCCATTCTTGTTCATTTCATTTTATTCTTTTTTTCGTTTTTCTGATGTGATCGCGTTTTGTTTTGCAGGAAATAAAGAGGATAAAGCTAAGTTACGTTTTTAACAGCATATGCTGTGGCGGAAGCTTTTTTATAGAGTTATTTAGATGCACTGCCTTCCTGACGATCTTTTCCACGGACTTGATGTCAACTAATGTTAAGTTAAGTGGTTTTTATCATTTATCTTGTTTTTGGGACTTTTTAGTTTGCTCACCCACTTCACCTGTCAGTGATAAGGACAATATTTCAGTCAGCAACCACATTATCAGGTAAATGTATAGTAGATTTTAACTGATTTTTGTTAATTTTAAGGCTTCTTTAAGACTTAAAATTCAATAATATCTCGGTTGCTTCAAATCCAATTAAAATATTCGTTCTCTTCATCAGAATGAAACCCTTGTTTTCAACCAAAGAATTTAATAAGGTGCTTGTTTTTTTCTTGCTTGTTACTCTACTTGTTCTTACGCTATCTATTTTTGTCTACTTTTAAGTGTTTAACCTCTAAACCCTAGCTTTAAATGAAGTTCAAATGCGCGTCTCCAGAGTGTTTCTACAGAAATGATCATAAAGGAAACTATAGGTGCCATTTTACTTTCATGCACACCAATTACCACTACCGACCGAATTAAATGAAAAGGTCGCAAGTAATTTTGCTTGTTTCCCTTCTCAACCCAATGGCTAGACCATCATCACTTTTGTGTGCCTCTCAGAGCCAGTTTGACTCCAAGCATACCTTTCAGGGATGAACTCCATTGGGTTATCCCAATATTTCTCATTCCAATGAATCGCGTGCACAGGCACGGTGACAGTGACTCCTTCTGGGACTCGCTGTCCCAACACCTTAAACAACTTTAAATCATCGAAATCAAGTGGCAATCTTACCGTAGTTTCTTTTATACAACGCCGACTTGTGAATAAAACAACTGGTGGATATCTGAATTGTTAAATTTTTCGATCAAATTTGGGGATTCACCTCCTGAGCACTTCTCGGAAGACACAATCCAAATATGGAGCTCTCATCACTTTTTCATAATCTAGTTCCTAAATTCGACTATCAATGATAAGTTTCAAATGTTCAATTACCGCATCTTCCCCAAATGTTTCGATAACTTCTGCATAAAGTCTCTCTTGAATGGATTCATTTGTTGCCAAACACCAACAAGCAAAAGACAACGCTGTGCTTGTTGTCTCATAGCCTAAGGTAACCTTATTACTCAAGCTTGGAAATCTACGGTAGTTGGCAAAATTCTCAATTTAAGATAAGACGTACCTGCTAACAAGAAGTGAAAACAATTTGTGATAATAATGTCATCAGATAAGGGAGCTTTCTGAAAGAAAATAAATCAGACTAATTGCATCTCTTTGTACTTTTTCATCTTTTTGTCTTTCCAAATCCTGTTCGAGGAGTAATTGAATGAGATCAATTTCACGTGAGGAATCAAAGTTTCGTCGACGATCTTGAATCACCTGAAATGATTAATAAATATCTGTCAAAAGTTTCGAGATTTAAACAACTAATTAGAGAACATTACTTACTTTTCTTAATCTTTCAAGCAATGGTTTCTCGGCTTTAGCAATGCTTGAGAGAAATCGGAGATGTGGAGCAATTGTGGGTAGAATATCTAGAAAGGTATCTAGAATATCCCTATTAAAGCTAGAGAATCTAAAAACTTTCTAACTTTATCGCAAAACTTACATGCAAGAAGAACAAATACTGGAGAAGATTCAAGACTGAATTCCTGGAAGAATTTCCGGCTGCCCACATAAAAACTGTCCTGAAAGACTTTCGATAAAATGTAAGCGAATATTTTAGTGAAGTTATAGTGAAGTGACTTATATAAGTGAATATTTTATAGAAAGCAGAGCTTACATTTCTATCATGAAGCGAATCACAGGGCACACCGAGGGCTGATCGAGCAATTGTATCCATTGTAAAAGATTGAAGTTCGCTCAAGTGGATATGTATGGGAAAAGGAAGTTTTCACCAACTCATAAATCTCAAGATCAGCTTTTCCGTCGTGCATTTTCTTGTTCAAAACGTCGATGAGAGAATCGACTCTTTCTTGCATGATGTAGTGCATCTAGAAGTTGACTCATAAAGTAATGATCGATTTCAAAATGGCTGGGATATTTGTGATGAGATATAATATTGAATATTGTAAAAACATTCGCCAAACCTTCTTCAATTTTCCTGAGGTGAAAACAGGTGAAACAACTGAACGTACATCTTTCCATCCAACACCACCATGTCCCTGGGCACTGATCTGAAAAATGTGCTTCAGTTAGGTCCATTTTGATCCTCACCGCCAACAATCCATCCCAGAATGGAAAAGTATCATTTAGAGGAATTGTCTGAATATTGTGATTTATTTGAAATCCTGTGTAAGAAATACCTGTCTATCAACAAAATTAGCGAATTGTGAGACGAAAACTTCTTTCGCAAATTCGGGATCTCGACTCACAATGTCCAAAAATGGACCGTTATACCAACTGGAATATCGCTTTATTGTAAAATAACCCATATTTTCATTTATTGTTTTGTTTTATATTAAAAAGTTTACAAACACTCATAAAAATCTGCTCAAATTATGCGTTAAAGCATTACCCAAATGTTTCTCCCCATGTCTCGTGTAGTTCGGTGGCTAATCGTGGTGAGAATTCCAGTCCAAACTAAAAAAAAGAATTTAGAATTAGCTTGAATTGATTTTACATGTCGTTTTTAAACATTTTTACCTCCTTGAAAAACTTCACAAACACCCAAATTGTGCCAATGAAGAAATTTGGCTCTGGCCCTCTCAATCCCAATTCGCCGCGTAAACGATATTGTCGAACTCGCCATCTAAAAAACGTTTCTAATTCTTAAAATAAGAAAAAAAACTTACAAAATGTAATAAGTTAGAAATAGCACTCCGACGGTAGCTGCCAAAAGGTAGATAATCATTTCTGAAAATGATAAAATAGTTTGTTGTAGATATTCAAGAAAGCAATAAAGCGGTTTATAAAGAAAGCTTCGAAAGAAAGAACTGATTGAACTACAAAACTATACAGACTTATCAAAAGATATGCAAAAAGTTTTTTTATAGACACAATATGACTCTAGAAAATGTATTGAGCAGCTCTACGTGTGGTCAGTGCAAAAGCTGGATGAAAGGGAAAAGGAAAGGGAAAGAATGGGAGAGAATGGGAAAGAATGGGGAGAAGTAAACAGAGGTTATCTCTCTTGAATTCTTTTCTTCACACTACACAACTAGAAATCTTTATGATCTGATCTGATTGAGGAAAACGAAAAAAAAATGAGACCAGAAGTATGTGTTTTTGACGAAATCTCAATTGTTTTAATGAACTGGACAATGATGCAAAAAGAGTTCGAGAACCGGTTGGTTCTAGAATCGTCGAGTTGGACACAAAGAGTCGAATTGGACACTACAAAAAACAAAGATTTTTGTATCCTATGAAGAAACATCAGATAATTTCACTACTCTTATCCATGTAAACTTTAAATTTGCATTAAGAGAATCAATTATCAAATACTAAACCTCAATCATAAAACCTTACTTTTTATTTTCGTTGGTTCCATTTTTTCCTTTCCCTCCTTTTGATCTAAATCTCTTCCTTCTGTTTGCAAACTCAAAAATGCATGCGAGAGGCGCGGACAAATGGGCGACTGAATTCTTAACAAAAATAAAATCTTGATGAATCTTGACAAAGCAAAACAAACTCCTTTTGAAGGCTAATCCATTTATATTGTAAACCAATTGTCCTCATTTTCTTCAAATGGCCAAAAAGAAGGGCAGTGGTTTAGCAGCAATTCTCTCAGGACAACCTGTTGTTGTGAAGAAACGGAAATCATTTAAAGAACGATTTAAGGAGGTTTGTGAAAATATCATTAACTTGCGATTGCAGTTAGCCATTTGAATACTTTTCAGAAACTAATTTCCATCGGACCTCATCTCGGTCTTGTGGTCGCCAACGTTGTCTATGTAATTGCAGGGGCTTATGTTTTTGTGGCACTGGAAGGACCTCATGAGGTAAAAAGGCAAACATTTGGTTGAATTGTTAAAATGGAAGACACTTTGCAATTTTATTACCCCTTTGAACCAACGCTAATTTGAGGAAACGACACGAAAAGAAACCGAACGTTTCGTACTAAACGAACAAACAAAATTGATTGATGGAGCTGTAGAAGCCAGGATAAAATATATTGGTTTGTTAATCTTCTTTGAATAGAATTCAAATCTTTTAGACGATGATGAGAGTTACAATGTCACTCTAAATATGCTCTTCGATAGTTACACGGAGGCGATTCTCTTACTCTTTTTTGATCCGGTTACATACAAAAAGAAATTATAGTATATTTACTTTTACATTTCTAGGTGAAGGCAAATTATTTCGATTCAAGAGTCTATTACAATAATACATATCAACGATTGTGGACAGAATCGGCTGCTTTACTGTTTACATCAACAACCGTCATTCCAGTTGGTAGAGACTTTTTACACATAAAACTGTTAATATCAATTTTTACGTCAGTGTAAGTTTAAAGTGAAATCATTTTCAATTATCTATTTATTTTCATTCAGGCTTTGGCTTAGTGACTCCAATGACTGGATCGGGTCGAGCATTCCTTTGTACTTATGCCGCTTTGGGTCTTCCATTAGCTTTGATCACTTTGTCAGATATCGGGAAATTTCTCAGCAATCTCGGCTATGATCTTGTGAAGGTTTATTGAAAAAGATTTGTTGATTAAAGTTGTTGTTGTTGTTGATTTAGAAGGAGTCGACCTATTCGTTGACTCTCTTGATCCTTTTGCCCGTTTATCCGATTATGTGGGGAATTATGATCAGGTAGGAAAAACGGTGAAAGAAAAACGAAAAACGTTATGAATTTTCAGTTTATTCACAAACAACTCAATGATCGACTCGATCTATTATTGCAGTATCACAATTTTTACAATCGGCTACGGTGATATGGGGTTGCTTCTTCGCATGAGACAAAACAACTAAAATATTCAGTCCACCCGTTCCAATTCCAATTCTTCTTTGCTTCATTATATTTGGCGTTACTTTGGTCACCCTAACAATTGATGTTGTTGCAGCAAATGCAATTGATCGAGTCCATTATGTTGGAAGACAGGTAACAAATCACTTTACATGAGCCAAATTCCAAATTACAAATTCAGATGGGAAAAGCTCGAGTGATTGCTGATAAAATGATTGCTGTAAGAGATAGTTTTATTTACAATAGAATATTTAATTTAGATGGCTCAAAAGATTAATATCAATCGAGGATTGGAGCTTGGTTTCGCTCAGCTGAACACTTTTGCCAAACTGGGCATTCTGATGAAAGTACGGGAAGTTTTCTTGTAAAGCTCATCATTTTGCTTTTTTAACAACACAAACAGAAAGCTCAACCAAATCAAAAAAAACTACTCAATACTTTACTTTAATTTTAGTTTGATGGAAACGGAGTAACAATGCCTCAAATGGTGATGGGAGAACCGCTCACTCCAAACACAATCAGAAAAGGGAGAACTGCTTTTGATCCACCAGGATTTATGCCTTTCGCTGATGAAAAAGCTTATCGGGTAGGGAGAGAATAAACTATACTTGAGGCAGTTTTCAGTTCCGAAGTTGTATTTTTAGCACTTGGACTCGTCAGCGGCGAGTTCTCCTCGTTTCAATCATCGAGATCACGATTTTCCATTTATCGACACAAAAAGTTGAAAACACTGTCAAATTACTGAAGACTTGTGCAATAAAATTTACTTGCACTTGCACTTGCAAAAAACTATTTACTTGCAAAAGTGGTATTCATTTCAACATTTCCATCAAACCTACCACACTTCCCTCCACTTCCCTCCTCACACTCCACATGTGTTCCCTCCTTTTTTCTGTCTATAGTGTTAAAAATTGGCGATAATACTTTGTAAATTGGTTGGAAAATCCCTCAATTTGTTGCGGGGAAAGGGAAAGGAGAGGAAAGGTCGCAAAATGAATGCACGGCGGTGTTCCTCCGAGTCTTTCACGACCAAAATGTGTGTTTTGTACTTACAAAAGTCTTGTCTATTTATTTGAACTTGTAATGTAACTGTTTACCATTTATGTCTATTTCAAAACTTTTCTCAACTACCGTTTATAGCTTTAGTAAGTATCAATCTCTTCAGTGATAATTTGTAGTGAGAAGGGAACTCTCCTTTTTTCTACCACATCTCCAGCTCTACCACATCGCTAATTTCCAAAAATGAAAGAGAACGTCTGGAGTTGTGAAGAAAGAAAACTCTTTTGAAATGAAAAGAATCCCTCAAAAAAAAAGCCCGTGTTCTGAGATCCAATTATTGAAATTGTGGCCAACATGAGACCCCATTCTTTTCTAATTTTCTTTTTTTCTTTTCCCTTCAAAAACCTACATGACAACTTCAGACTTTCCTCAATTTTTATAGCGACTTTTTATCGATGGAGGAGACTTTTTGTTGAGCCTTTGCAGCTACAATTATGGCAAAAAGTGTTCGCTGGATGAAAAGCAGAAAGGTTTTTCATGATAAGACCTTTTCACATGGATCACATGAAAAAAACTGAAAAAATGTGCATGAAATGAAAAAAAATGCGACAGAAAAAGTTGGTGCCAGGCTGCTCGATTTTGGAGTCTTCATTTGAAAGCTGGGTTACAGACAAAAACATGAGCTTCGTAATAGACTCTACGTTCTACCGTATTCCTGATTTCTGGAGATTCGATGCTTTGAGAGGTAATTTTTGAAATTTTTGAAAATTGATGCTTGTAGGAGCACAGTTTATGTTATAATAGTATTAATGGAAAGTTGTGAACTTTGACACCGATACAAACGATCAAGGTAATCCACGCTTTTATCAATCCTGTTTGCCTATCAACAGTCACATTATTTCCAAATGAAAGATCCAATATCCAATTCAATAATTTCATCACCAATTAACCTCAATAAACTGTTGCGCTTTCTTGCAAGAAGCAGATTTATAACGAAAATTTCTCGGCCAAGGGCTTTTTGTTTCTCTTTTGTGTGGGGGAAGTGACATTTTTTGGGGATCTTTTTCACCGTTACAAGGCCATTTGCCGAATAGAAAAAAAGGTGAAAAAGCAAAAGAAATGAGCAAAGGAATGGGGAAGAATAACGAGTGAAATTGGGGATGAAAGGAGAGATTCATTTGGATGATATCGACGCCGCGATGAGACTTTGAAGAGGATTTGGGGATAGAGGGAGAAAGGATGAGTGGGCTGAAAGCACCTGCAAGTGATTCTTGATCTTTTCGATACATGCATAGCTCTATGTACGGCTTTGGCGTCAAAGCTCCTGCCTACATTTTGTTTTTGATTACTCCAAATTTGAGGATTTCGTTTGTCATTAGTGTAATGAAAAACGAATAGTTAGTATTCTCAATGAAGATCGTATAAAACTTGTTTATTTGCCTTTTGGTCAGTTAATATAGGTATACAGATTTAAAACATTGCTTGTGCCATTAGATTCCAGCCATTACAAACCATCAAAACCATGCCCAAAGCTAGTTTTCTTTCTCTTGTCGAGATTCAAATGAGTGTCTCTGATCGGAAATGAAAAAGTTGCCTTGATCAGTTTTCTTTCGGCTCTCGAAAGAGGAAGACGACGGCCGGCCAAGGACAAAACGATGACCCTTTTTGAATGAAGTTGAGAGATGAAGATTGACTCAAAGATCGATGAATGAATGATGTAATAAAGAAGGAGAAAAGAGAAGAAAGGAGAAGAAAGGAGAAGAAAGAGATTAGACAAATCACGCAATAACGGTTAGACAACCATTTACTTGATTGATCTACTTATTGAGGATCATGTTTTATTTGAATTTATTGTATTATTGATGTTGCAAGTAACTGTTGCAAATGTTAAGCACTGTGTAAAGTCTTAACATGTATGTTTTCCCTTCTCATATTTACCTAAATATTCCAAAAACCCTAAATCCTCCCTTATATTCTTCCTTATTTAGAATGCAGCGAGACATTGTGAGTGTTGAGGCTGAAAGGGACATGGTTCTTTTCTTGGCCCTCTATTCCCATTTCTGGGGTATTCTGAAGGGAACACAAATCGGAGTCATTAGTAGGCTTCCCTCCCCATCTGGGCCCCCTTCCCCCTTTTTTTATTCAACTCTAAGGGGATCTCCTTGCCTTCTTTAGGCGTTTTCTTAAAAAAGGCGGCTTACCTCTTTTACTGCTTTATAAATTTGACTGATAGTTGTTTTCTTTTTGTTTCAAAAACTCCCTTCAGATTTACCATATCTGTAATCCACTGCTTGATCTCCTTTCCCCTATCGTTTGACCATTCATTCCTTCATTCACATGTCGGTGACCCTTTCACTCACCTAAAAGGATTTCCCCCCAAATGTGGTTAATGTTTGCCAAAAATTCGGGTCTCTTTTCCAAATGTTTGTCCTTTTATCAGAAGGAGCGATTTCTCGAACCCGGTTTACCCTCTTCTCTTCCCCTTTCCCCATCATTTCTTCAATGAATATCCCTTTTCATTTACCGATTGCACATTTTGGTCCTTCCCCTTTTCCCTCTCTTTTTCTTCAATCCATCGATGACCTTTTGGCCGATGAATATCCCCTCAAAAGAGGGCTAAAAGAGCCCATCCACCCAAGCAAGCTTTCTTTTGCTTTTCTTTATCTCTTTCTCCTCATTTGCCATTCCATCTCCTTTCCCCCTTCATATATCCGGATTTCATTTCATCGCATATTAGTGTTCGAATTTTCCTTTCGTTTTTGCTTGTTTAGAAGATGAAATTTTAATTATTCTTTTGGTATTTGTTTTACTATTCACTTGTTGATTATGTTCTATATAAACCTCTTCATATTACATGAAAATGAAAGTTATAGCACACAAATTTGCCTCTTATTTCCTCTTTTCTGAAACACTTTGAAAAGCCAAATTGTTGATTGTATGTCATTATCTTGTGCACTTTAATGAATCGAATTTATCTATTCATAAAAGTTCTGTGTTATCGAAAGAAGCGCTGATCGAAACAGCTGTTTGGATGGAAGAGAGGATGGGCAGTAAAAGTGTCCCTTCAACCAATGGGTGTCACAAAAGAGAGAAATGATTGAAGAAGAGATTGAATAGAAAAAGAAAGAAGACAATTGCTTATAAAGAAGAAGAAATGGGATGGAATGATCAAAGACCAGGTGACCATTGGATGAACGGGATATCCTCAAGAAATGGGTACAGGAGAACGCATTGTTTAGAAAAAGAAAAGGACACCATATGCTTAACTCTTTCATCTTTCCTTTTGGCGATATTTTCTCTTTGAACTACAGAATTTCACAGGTTCCTAACGTTGAAATTACAATTGAAAGTTTGTCTTCAACTTGGCTACGACTTGGCTACAACTTGGCATTTGGTTTAAACCAGTTCCATACCGCTAAAACAGTCGATGAGATGCTAATTTTGGTGTTATCGTTTCCATTCTTGTCCATCGCATTTACTTTCCCATTTCTTAAATGAGAGATAGATGGATGAGGCCAGGTGAATGGACAAAAGAGGAAATGGGGAAGATGGGAAGACTTGTTGCATCGCCTTGACGACTGTTCACTTCATCCCTTTTCTCTTTTCTCCTCTCATCTCACCAATCTCCCCATTTACCCCATTCTTACCAAAAGGAGATCCATTTCTTTTTGTTCATTCAAGTGTTCCCTTTTAAAGATTTTACCATTCACCAGAGACACCCAATTAGAAATAAGGATTTAGTGCGAATTTGAATAAACATTTTGTAGTCGAAGGGCTGTACATAAGTTACTACGTGAACTCACTACAAAGGTTGTTAATATAAAAGTGTCAAACTTTATTTTCCAATTGCTTATTAATAAGTACAATTTCTGAAATATAAGTTCTGTCATGTCTTTGAAATGAAATGGAATGAAATGTACTCGTCTACAACTAGATCTTTGTTTTGTTTTTCTTATAAAATCTTTTCTCAAATGTTACCATTTGTACTTTTTTTGAATGTTCTTCCCCTGCGGGTGGATGGTCAGGACGAGATTGTGTGTTCATCCCATCATTCTCCTCTTTCTTTTCTTTTCCTTTTCTTCTTCATCTGGACATAGTCTTCCCCCTTTAGTCAGTCACTTCTCGAGATTCTCAAGTACCCGATTTCACTGTCAAAAGCTCCTTCAATCGACAATCGACTAGAAGATATTCACAGACTAGATAACTCTCATTTAATATTTCAGCTTTGAAAATACCAAATACATTTGTTTATCTTTTTGCCGGTCTACGTGACATTTTCTCTTCCCAGTAAGCTTTGGTATGACAAGTATCCTGCCAAGAAAAAGTTATCGCCAGAAAAAAAAGCAAAGGCCGATATTGTGATCGTTTCTGGGATGACAAAAGAAAAGACCGATTTGTTCATTCATTCAAAAGATTTCCCTATGTAAAATGCCCATGTCTGACTCATTCACCTAACACCTTTCATATCGAAAAATCTTTGATAAAAGTCTGCAAAGTAAGGTCGTTTCTTTCTTTGATCGTTTCCTTTTTCATTTTCAAAGAACTTTCTCTGATTCACCAATCTATCTGATGGCCTTGATCTATGTAGATTTCATTGAATTTTAAATAGAAAAAAGTGGGAGAATTTCGGAGAAATCGTATGCGTTTAGTCACCTGATAGAGATCTAATGAGTCTAGAAAACATTTTATTTGACCGTCTTTTTTCAACTTTCAACATTCATTG